TGTAATCTGGTCACAGAGCTGGGCTAGGATGCCTCAGGCCCCCTTGAGATGGGGGGAGACTGGGCCCCTAAAATCCAGCCCCTTTCCCTAGTCTGTCTCCTCCATGCTCCCAGACACCAACTAAACTCACCCTCTTCCAGCCCTGCCCCCCAGCCAGGGCAGCCTCCACCTTCCTTTGTTCCTCTCCATGGGGGGTGTCTGGTTCAACAAGTTTGGCATTACCTTTGCATAGTGAGGTTTTCCCTGCTGGGTCTTGCTCCAGACAGCAGGGGTCACCACAGCCCAGCAAGTACCCCCACTACGTCACACCTTCCACCTTCCTTTGTTCCTCTCCATGGGGGGTGTCTGGTTCAACAAGTTTGGCATTACCTTTGCATAGTGAGGTTTTCCCTGCTGGGTCTTGCTCCAGACAGCAGGGGTCACCACAGCCCAGCAAGTACCCCCACTACGTCACACAGGGTCCCAGAACATTCTGGTGGATCAGCTGAACAGGTCCTTTGCCAGATACAAGTGGTCCCTCAGAGGGGACATGGCGCTCCAAGTCTTCTGCAAGTGGGGCTTTCTCCTTCTGGACTTGTTTGTTTCGAGGCAGAACAGGAAGTGCCCTTTCTGTTCCCTCATGGGGCTGGGGCGCATTCCCTGGGAGATACACTCCTTACCCCCTGGCCTGAGGTATTCTTTATGCCTTCCCGTCTTTCTCGCTGGTCCACAAGGTATTCCTGTGGGTTTAGGAACTCGGAGCATCCCTGATCCTCATTGTGCCAGCATGGCCAAGACAGCACTGGTCCTGTGAGAGACCAATTGCCCTCCCGTTGGTCCTGGACCTTATCACAAACCTGCAGTCCCTGCACCTAATGGCATGGAAACTCCATGGCTAACAGCGGCAGAGCTGCTCAGAGAGGGTGCAGGAGGTCTTACTTGGAAGTAGGAAACCTTCCACTAGAGCACCTGACGTGGCCAAGTGGAAGCGCTTCTCTATCTGGGCTGTCCAGGAATGGGTATTACTCATGGAGGTCCAGATTCTGGTCGTCCTGGACTGTCTCCTGGATCTTAAATTACAGGTGTCATCCTCCTCCTCAGTGAGGGTACACCTGGTGGCCATCTCCACTTTCCACCCAGGCTCCCGGGGCAAAACCCTCTTTGCGGATCCCATGGTACACAGGCTCCTGAAAGAGTTGGACAGACTTTATGCGCATGTTCATCAGCCTATCCCACAATGGGATCTTGACCTGGTCCTGTCCAAGCACCTGAGGGCCTCCTTTCAAGCCCCTGGTGACATGTTCGCTGCTGCACCTTTCTTGGAAGATGTCTTTCCTGGTGGCTATCATGTCAGCCAGCTGTGTGTCCGAGCTGAGGGCCCTCACCTTGGACCCTCTGTACACAGTTTTCTTTAAGGATAAAGTCAGATTACTCCCCCATCCTGCCTTCCTTCTGAAGGTGGTATCTCATTTTCGTGTCTCCAGGGTATTTTCCTCCTAGTTTTTTTTATCCCAAGCCCCATGCTTCGGGTAAGGAACAAGTGTACCACACTTTAGATGTTAGGAGAGCGCTTTAGCCTTCTATTTGGAAAGAACAAAGCCATTCCGTAAGTACACAGTTGCTACAAAGAGCTGTGGGGAGAGTCTGCAGGGACAGCCTGTCTCTGCACAGAGGATCTCTTCATGGATCACGTCCTGTATCAAGGAGTGTTACGGGCTGGCTGGGGTGCCAGCCCTTCCCCTCAAAGCCCACTCCACAAGGGCTCAGGCCTCCTCTATAGCATTCATGGTCTTCTCTCGACACTTTCGCCAATCATTATGTGCTGGGTCATCAGGCAAGGGAGCCTGAGGAGGATCAGCCCTGGGGAGGGTTGTCCTCCGATTGGTTGAAGGTTAAAATTTGATTTCACCTCCTTGGGTTTCTGCTTTTGAGTCACCTATATGGAATGGCTTAAACAATAAAGAGTCTAGTAGCACCTTAAAGACTAACAACATTTGTAGATGGTATCATGAGCTTTCATGGGCAAAACCCACTTCTTCAGATGACCGGAGTATTAAAAACTCT